AAGATTGCCTTAGGGTTGCCATAAGTCGGAAAGGACTTGAAGACACACAAGAACAACAAAAAAAGTCTGCAGTTGTTTCATAGGTAGTACATGGGACTAGAAGCCAGCATGGTGTAGTGGTTGAAGGTTGGACTACCGCTCTGGAGACCTTGGTTTGATTCCCAACTCTGCCATGAAACCCACTGGATGAACTTGGACAAGTCACACACTCTCAGCCTCAGAAGAAGGCAATGGCAAACCTCCTCTGAACCAGTCTTGCCAAGAAAACACCAGGATAGGGCTTCACCTCTTATCCGCTGCTGCTTTCTCCTCCTGCCTCATGCCATGCCACCCCTTCCTCCCCCCTCCTCCTCCTCTAACCTGACTTCCTCTCTTCTTCCTCCTCCCGCTTCATGCTGCGCCTCCCCTTCTTCCTCCTCCTCCTCCACCCGGTGTATAAGACAACCCCCGACTTTGGAGAAGATTTTCCTGGGTTAAAAAGTAGTCCTATACACCAGAAAATACTGTATGTAACAGAGCCAGCAAAAGGACTGGTGTGCATTGGGACTGAAGTGAATTGGTACCAATGTGCTATGGTCTCCGGTGTGCATCAGGTCCATGATGGCACTCTTGCCAGTGTCCTATTAGGCATCTTTGCAATTCAGTAACTGGGTTTCTTAGTGCTTCTCCTACTTAGTTGTTTGCAAATTTTCATTGAGTGAAGGTCATATAGGATTCTGGCAAAGTTCTGGTGGGGGTGCGTTCCACAAGGAGACTGACAATACAGATGTTGTCTCAGATTTACCTCTCCTCCTGTCCCAGACTTACTTTGGTAAGTCTCTCTCTCTCTCTCTCTCTCTCTCTCTCTCTCTCTAAATCCTCTCACTGAGTTGGCATATGTTTTCCTACTTTTTGGGGCACTAATTTTCTGGCTACCCACCTCTTTTTGCCTCTATAAGGGTGAATTAAGTTTCTTATGGCAATGAGAGAGGGCACTCAAGGCCAGGTCTTCTTTTCAGCAGGCAGATTTTTGCTCCCCTTGCTGGGAGATCCAAGCTATCCTGTGTCCATAGCATCCTAACCACATGTAGATATAAAGAAATTACAGCCCCTTCTTCAAGCAAATAATTTTTGGTTGATTTCTTAAGATCTTTCCTCTCTGATGTCCTATGGATTTCTTCAATTGCCTCAAATATTCCCTCACACACACAAAATCCAAATAATTTTCTGAAAATGTAGAATTATCTTTCATTGCACCAGGTCTTCCACACCAATCTGGTTTTGTTTGAATAAGGCCACAGATGCCAAACTGTGCCCTAGGTTTGAATCTATGGGATATGATATTAAATCTTACCCAAACCTTTGCCTTTATTTTAATCATACTCATGACATGTCCTCACACACCTGCCATGGATTGCATCTGAGGCATCTATTGCCTTAGTAACATAGTTCCAGCTTTAAATTCATGCCTTGGAAAAGAAAGCACAAAGCCTCTTCCCCTCAAGGCAGAGAAGTGTTTAGTCTCTTCATCACCAAAGAATGAAGATTTTGTAAAAGCACAAGCCTCAGCAGGTGCAGACAAAGAGAGGTGGGTTTAAAATTTATTCACATGCCTCAGACTTGAGGGTGGGGTATGTATGCATCTCTTAGGAAGGAAAATCTACAAGGAAGATCAGATGTATTCTCCACTATAATATGTTTGAGCAAAGTCCTGGTATAAACCTGGCTTGTGAAATAAGCACCTTTCTCAAATATTGTTATTTCCAATGGGTTTCCTGTAATAAAAGTCAACCTTGCTGAGGCAACAGAATATCACTTTGCCATATAAGAGTAAATGGCAGGTAGTAAAGAAATCAGTGAGACAGTGGTTTGAGTGTTGGACAAGGACTCTGGGAGAAAAGGCTTTGGATTTCTGTTCAGCAACGGAAACCGAGTGAGTAACCTTGGGCAAGTCCCACCCTCTCAGTCTTAGAAAAAGGTAACGGCAAACCATCTCTAAATAAACTTTGCCAAGAAAATCCTCTGCCAGGAGTTGGAGTTGACTTGAAGGCACACAACAATGACAGAAAGAAATTGGTTACTGCCACACTGCAGAAATAAAGCAGTTTTCCACTATTTTAACTTCCAAGGCTCAGTGCTATGGAATTCTGGAATTTGTGATTTTGTGAGATATTTTGTCTTCCTTGTCAGAAAGCTCTGGTGCCCCACCAAACTACAAATTCCAGAATTCCATGGCACTGAGCCATAAAAGTTTAAGTAGTGTCAAATGGTTTTATAATAATAATAATAAAAATAAAAAAAATGTATTTATACCCCACCCCTCTGTCGAACAATTGGGGTGGCTTACAGCAACTAAAATTCCATACCTATCTCAGAATACACTCTAAAATCCCAAAGCCCACCCACCCCTTAAAAAAGTATTAAACCAGATGCCCATTAAAATAACATAAGCAAAACATCAGAATTGAAATAAACAGATTAAAACAAAGAATAAATATACAAAGGCAGCGACATAGGAGAGGTAAAATAGGCTCCTGAGGCTGGGAATTCTACTTAGGAAAGGCCTGCTGAAAGAGATCCATCTTCACAGCCTTTTTGAAGCTGCTTAAGCTCATAATCTGACAGATCTTGTTCAGCAGGCAGTTTCATAGTCTGGGAGCGCTTACCGAAAAGGCCCTCTGGGAGGTTGCAGACAGCCTGGTTTTCATTGGCTGTAGCAAATTCCTCCCAAAGGACCGGAGTGTGCGGGGAGGATTGTATGGGAGGAGGCAGTCCCAAAGATAGGTTGGACCCAAGCCATTTATTTCCACAGCGAGAGAGCAACCTCAGTAACTTAGTGGAAAATACATGAAGACATGACAACCCATGATGGGCTGCATGATTTCCATTCCTGGCCTAAGCTGATAAAAGACCCTCTGAACTATTAAGGGCATCTTTGCTTCCTGCAATGATGAATCCCCAAGCACCCTCTCATGATACACCTTTCAGAGGAGGAATGGAGAATGTGTGGTCCTCTAGATGCCGTTGGATTGCCACTTTCATCAGTCCTAGTGAGCTCTGCCAGTGAGGTGGGATGACGGAGTGCACTCTCCTCCTGAACCAGTTGAACACCACTCAGCTAGGCAGATGAAACACCTTCCAAAAGTATTATCTCTGTCTTGTCTAGACTGACTCTCAGTTTATTTGTCCTCCCCCCAAGCTATTACTGTGCTTGACAGCATACTTGCGGCATGTCCAGGATCACCCATTATATTCTGGACTGTATTTGACAGTTTTTCTTTCAATATATATTTAAGGTAGAATTGCCAAGTGTCAGTTTTCATGGGTCATGTACAGGTGGGAGGTGCAAATTCTCCAGTTTTGGTGAGCTCTTTTCCAGTTAAGAGGAAATATCTGTGTTCAAATCTCCAGTTTAGCTAGCAGAGAAGGAGTAGAGAAAGAGAAGTTAGTAGAGAAGGATTAATTCATTGTTTGCTGCAACTTGATGTTGGGGTGGTCTATATAGTTACTTAATGTCCTCCTTTTGTCCCAGTCCTTGTGGTCTCACCTTCTACTCTGCATTCATCTTAATTGTTCATTATCCTGCCTCCCTAAATAGGTCAGTTGGAATAATCTCCTCATTTCACCTTGATCTGGAAATAGCCCCTTATATGGACATTATCACACGTGGGCCAGAAAGCGAAAATAAAGTGGA